CAGGGTGGTTTCGAACTTCTGACCTCAAGCGATCCACTCATCTCGGCCTGCCAAAATGCTAAAATTACAGGCGTGAGGCACCATGCCAAGCCCAATTTTTCTATTTTTTTAAGAGATAGGGTCTCACTATGTTGCCCAGGCTGGTCTTGAACTCCTGGCCTCAACGGATCCTTCGGTCTTGGCCTCCCAAAGTGCTGGGATTATTGGCATGAGCCACTGCAACAAGCTGCTAAATAATGTATCTTGACGCCGGGGGCAGTGGCTCACGCCTGTAATCCCAGCACTTTGGGAGGCCGAGGCAGGCGGATCACGAGGTCAGGAGATCGAGACCATCCTGGCTAACACGGTGAAACCCCGTCTCTACTAAAAATACAAAAAAATTAGCCGGGCGTGGTGGCAGGTGCCTGTAGTCCCAGCCACTCAGGAGGCTGAGGCAGGAGAATGGCATGAATCCGGGAGGCAGAGCTTACAGTGAGCTGAGACCGTGCCACTGCACTCCAGCCTGGGTGACAGAGTGAGACTCCGTTTCAAAAAAAAAAAAAAAGTTAGAAATCACTTAACTGTGCTATATCAAAAACTTATCCAGGAATTGAATTGGTTTCATAGAGTTAATTTCTTTAAAACTTTCATAAATTCATTAATGTTGATATAATTCAGACTTGAAAGTTTACATGTCATGATTTTGCAGTGATTTGGAGAGAGAATTCTCAAATGGTTGGATGAAGGGTTTGGACTGTAAGTGGTATTTTACAGTCTTTAAAGAACTTTCATACCCATTGTTTCATTGGATTCTCCTAATAACCTTATGAGGTGGCAGGGCAGGTGGATGTATTATAGAAACTGAGATTTCGAAAAGTTAAGGGACTTACTAAATGTCACCCATCATGTTTATGGCAAGTTCTTTTTTTTTTTTTTTTTGATACGGAGTCTCACTCTGTCGCCCAGGCTGGAGTGCAGTGGCTCCATCTCGGCTCACTGCAAGCTCCACCTCCTGGGTTCCCACTATTCTCCTGCCTCAGCCTCCTGAGTAGCTGGCACTACAGGCGCCCGCCACCACGCCTGGCTGTTTTTTTGTATTTTTAGTAGAGACGGGGTTTCACCATGTTAGCCAGGATGGTCTCGATCTCCTGACCTCGTGATCCGCCCGCCTCGGCCTCCCAAAGTACTGGGATTACAGGCGTGAGCCACCGCGCCCGCCCGGCAAGTTCTAATTTAGGATCTGATTCCCAGATTACCAGTCCAATAAGCTTCTCATATCTATTTATTCACCTAACTCAGATAATGCTTTACTTGCTGGATAGACCAAACTAGCCCATACTTTGTGCCACTAGGAGAAAGAAGTGGGGAAATGGAAGAGGAGAAGGCGGGGTTTAGAAGAGGGCAAGGTCTGGCCAGGTGCGGTGGCTCATGCCTGTAATCCCGGCACTTTGAGAGGCTGAGGTGGGCGGATCACGAGGTCAGGAGATCGAGACCATCCTGGCTGACACAGTGAAACTCCGTCTCTACTAAAAAAAAAAAATACAAAAAATTAGCCGGGTGTGATGGCGAATGCCTGTAGTCCCAGCTACTGGGGAGGCTGAGGCAGGAGAAAGTTGTGACCCCGGGAGGCGGAGCTTGTAGTGAGCCGAGATGGTGCCACTGCACTCCAGCCTGGGCGACAGAGCCAGACTCCATCTCAGGAAAAAAAAAAAAAAAAAAAAAAAAAAAGAACAGGGCAGGGTCAGTGTAACACTAAGGAAGAGACTTGTTTGTCACATAGCCAACATATGATAGGTATCTTTCTCATTATTCTCAGAAAAGGGAGAAGAGAGGCTGAGATTTTAAGGCTGGGAGAATAGGATGTAAAAGGAGATAGGCAGTTTGAAAAAGACAGTGCCTGATGTATTTGGGGAAAGTGAGTCCTGAGGAACAGGAGTCTGACTAGAGTGAGGTGGGGTGAAGCTAGAGAGGCTGTAGCAGGATGGGAAATAAGTCATCCTCTGAGCTAAGCAACCTGGGCTTTTTCCTGTAGGCCTGTAGTAGAGCTATAGTGTCCTGGTGGTTCTTACAGAACACCAAGGAATAAGGGCATATAAAATTGAAAATATCAAATCCTGCTGGGCGCAGTGGCTCATGCCTGTAATCTCAGTACTTTGGGAGGCCGAGGTGGGCAGATCACTTGAGTCCAGGAGTTTGACACCACCTTGAGCAACATGGTGAAACCCTGTCTCTGTAAGAAAAACAAAGAAAAAAGAAAAATTAGCTGGGCATGGTGGTGCCTGTAGTCCCCGCTACTTGGGAGGCTGAGGTGGGAGGATCACATGAGCCCAGGGAGACGCTGCTGCAGTAAGCCGTGATCATGCCACTGAACTCCAGCCTGGGCAACAGAGTGACTCTGTCTCAAAAAATGAAAAAAGAAAAGAAAACATCAAGTCAAACAGGGCTTAAAGGAAAAAAATTGTGAAATCAAAAATAATCTGATACTATGTTCTGTATTCTAGAAGAGCTGGACACAGGTGCCAGAAGAAGAGAAAAACTTTTTTAAAGTGAAAGACATATAGTTTTGTGTAGGCAGAGCTTCATAGGCCCTTTACAATAACTCGGTATCTCTCTCTTCACTTCCTCTCCCCACCGTGATCTCTGGCCAACAGATTAGAAACCACTGCTATAAGAATTCAGATAAGCCGGGAGCGGTGGCTCACACCTGTAATCCCAGCACTTTGGGAGGCCGAGGCGGGCAGATTACCTGAGGTCAGGAGTTCAAGACCAGCCTGGCCAACATGGTGAAACCCCGTCTCTACTAAAAATACAAAAAAAAAAAAAAAAAAAAAAAAATTAGATGGTGGCACATGCCTGTAATCCCAGCTACTCAGGAGGATGAGGCAGGAGAATTGCTTGAGCCTGGGAGACGGAGGTTGCAGTTAGCTGAGATTGCGCCGCTGTACTCCAGCCTGGCCGACAGAGCAAGACTCTGTCTCAAAAAAAAAAAAAAAAAAAAATAAAAAAAAAAAAAAAAAAAAAAGAATTCAGATACAAGGAAAATCAGTGTGTCTAAATATGTTCTAGGGAAGGTAGGACTTTGGCTTGAGTTTCGAGAATAAGAGAAAAGGAGAAAATGGGTGTGGAAAGACCAGAAAAGGAAAAATTTTGAGAAAGCGCATTGAAAATTGAGAAAATTCTCCCTTCTAACTTTATGAATTGGAAGTGACTACTATTATTTGTTTTAATAGTGTAACTATTAAAACCAGGCAGGCACAGTGCTGAAGCATGAATGAGGCAATGGGAAGTCATGGAAAGCATCTAGGCAGCAAAGAAAGGTTAGATTTGGAAATTATGTTTTGTGGAAGTAGTACAGCTTAAAAAATTGTCCAGGTGTAGTGTGGCTCACGCCTGTAATCTCAGCACTTTTGAGAGCTGAGGCAGGAGGGTCTCTTGAGGCCAGGAGTTTGAGACCAGCCTGGGCAATATAGTGACACGACGGTCTCTTACAATTAAAACAAAACAAAAAACAAAACAAAAGAAAACAAAAAACAGTTGTTAGGTGCTCCTTTTAAACAATTCAAACAATATGAAAATAAAAATTACAGCCGGGCACAGTGGCTCCTGCTTGTAATCCCAGCACTTTGGGAGGCTGAGGCGGGCGGGTCAGGAGGTCAGGAGATCGAGACCATCCTGGCCAACACAGTGAAACCCCATCTCTACTAAAAATACAAAAATTAGCTGGGCGTGGCGCGTGCCTGTAATCCCAGCTACTCAGGAGACTGAGGCAGGAGAATCGCTTGAAACCGAGAGGCGGAGGTTGCAGTGAGCCGCAATCCCCTCACTGTACTCCAGCCTGGCTATAGATCCAGACTCTGTCTTAAAAAACAAAAAAAACCTACGTGCAATCTGACACCCTTTCCCCCAAGATAATCATTGCTAATATTTTGGCGAACCTCTTTCCTGAAATCTCTCCATGCTTATAGAATATTGTGTCAAACTTCACATAAATGTACCCGTGTAGACATGCCGTTCTGTAATCAGTTTTTTTCCCTGAAGAATAAATTGTGAATAGCTTTTCATATCAATAGATTTATATCATCATTTTAAATGGCTCCTTAGTGTTGCATTGTATGTATATGTCACGCCTTATTTAAGCAGCACCCTATTGATGAACATTTACTCCCCCCATAATTAACTACGTCATATAACAACTTTGTGCATTCATCTTTTCGAAATTGTTCGATTATTTTTTAAGGTAAATTCTTGAAAGTAATGGAGCTGGGTCAAGAAGTATGCGCTTTGTCGTTTGGATTCAAGTTGCCGAATCGTCCTCAAATTTGCAGGGAGACCAGCGAGGAAGCTCCGGCATTAGTTCTGGTGAAAGACAACTGAAACAGAGATGGCGAGGGAAGAACAGAATTACAGGTGATCTAGCCCATCAAGGCCCATCCTCGGTGGGCTGGCATATTCCTTCCCTTTGCCTCTCTTTCACTTCTTTTTCTTAACATGGAGGAAGAACCGAGAACTGCATCTCCCAGCATTTCGCAGGGACCACACTCCCTGGGAACTGTAGTGCCGGGTCTGAGAAGGGTCCGGAAGGAGAACAGGAAGCTGAGAGGCATGCTGGGAGGTGTAGTCGAGAGAGAGAGAGAAAGAGAGAGAGAGAGAGCAAGAGCGAGAGAAAGCGCGAGCGAGAGAGAGAGAGCGAGAGAGAGCGAGAGAGAGAGAGTGTGTGTGTGTGTGTGTCTATGCAAAGAGGATGGAGACGTTGCGAGTACGGCCCCTTGGGGATGGGGCCTCGGGCGACCTGACTTTCCTCACAGGTGGTCTTTGAGTCTACAGAGTCTGCCAGCGGATGGTTGGCTTTATTCCATTGTGCGTGACCGGAGAGGGCGCGGCCCCTCTGCACCGGGCTGGCGGCGGGAGGCTCAGGCCGCGCGCGGGCTAAAGCAGGGCATGCCGGGAGTTGTGGTCCCGGCGCTCTGAGGCTGTGGGACGTGTCGCGGCGCCGCGCCGGCTCCTCCTTCCCTGCCCTTCTCAGCGGTCCCCCGCCTCCTCCCTCCGCCTCCTCCTCCCTCGCCCGCAGTCGAGCGTCCCCTCCCCCAACCCGTCGGGCTCCTCGGCTGCTACTGCAGAGGATTCAGAGCCGAGTCGCTGAGGAGGAGGAGGCTCCGGTCCCCGCGCGCCATCCGCCACCCTACTGGACACGGGCGAGGGAGCGAGAGCGTCGCCGCCGTAGCCTCCGGAGAAGACAAGGGCATCGCCGCCTCAGCCGCCGCCGCCGCCGCCGCCGTTTTCGCCTGCAGCTGCTCACCGGTGAGGAGACTCCCCCCGCCACCCGGTCCGCTGGTCCTGAGCCTGGGCCGGTGGCGCTGGCGAGAATGAGAGTGGGGGCTGCGGAGCCCCCGTGCAGGTGGTGGGGAGGGGGTTCAGGTCGCGATGGAACGGCGGGCTGGTGGGGGAGACTTGTCCAGGCGCTGGCTGGGGGTGGGGTGAGGGTGGGACCCAAGCAGGTTGGGGGGCGGGCGACCAGGGAGGAGGACTTTTGATGGAGAATAACACAACCTGGGACAGGAGAGTGGGGTGGGGGCGCCAGGTTGGAATTCGGGATGGTCTTGGGGCGAGGTGGAAGATGAGACTAGGGTGGGATGGCTTTTAATGGGGGAGGGGACTGAATGAGGGTGGTGATTTGGGTTTGGCCTGGAGCAGTTGACAGCTTGGGATCTGAGCTGGGGTGAGGGGTAGGGGAATGATTTCAACGGAGAGTGAGTGGCATGTACAGGGCTGGACAGGACCCTGCGGAGTGTTAATTCAGGAGGGTGGAATTTGGGGTAGACCTGGGGCAGGATGATGGAGGTGGCAGGAGTTGGGGGTGAGGGGCTTGGCATGGGTTGAGACCTGAGCTTGAAGTGGGTGTTTGTCATCTGGGGCTGGTGGAATTTGTGGAGACTTACGGAATAGCATGGGTTAGGATAGAGCAGAGGAGTGCAATTTGGGGGTTTCCTGGGGTGGGCTGATGGAGGTTGGAATAGGAGTTGGTGGAGGTGAAACATTCAGTGAGGGGAGTGTGATGGTGAGCTGGCAGGAAGGGGTCACATTGGAAGTCAGGCCCAAAATGGGAGGACAGGGATGGAAATAGAGTGTGGGGCGCAGTGGGTTGGATTTAGGGTGATCTTACAATCACTGGAAAGGGCATGGTGGCTCCTTGGTTGCAGGGTCAAGGCAGAGGGCACATAAAACATCACTGGGCTGCATTCATTGAAAGGATAGCGGCAGGGGTGAGCAAAGTTGGGGGATGGTATCTTGAAGAAAATGTCCCTTGGCCAAAGTGGCAGAGGGAGTTTTGGAGAAGGACTTTCGGAGATGAGCTGGTAGGCCTGGGGAGGTGGTTGCTGATGGTGAGGTGGCACAGGGGAAATTTAAGGAATGGGAGACCTGGAGTTGTTGGTATGGATGGGGCAGAGAGGATGGAGAGGGACAGTCAGCTGTGCTGGAGAAGGGGGTGGAAATGGGTTGGATTATTTTGGAGATGAAGAATTGGGATGGCCTCCAAGAGACACATGAGGGTTAAGGGTTGGAATACTTAAATGGACAGCCTTGGTGGCTGTGGTTGGGGGAGAGGCAGTAAGCCTGTTAGAGGGGACTTTGCAGGGGACACAGAAGAGAACATCTCATTCTTAGGGGCCATTTTAATCTGTTCAGTTGATCTTTTTGTTTGTTTTATTTATATTAGTATAATTTGGAAGTCAAGTCAGCCCAAAGGGTAAAGTTGAAAGGGGATTTAGTTAAGGTAGAATTAAGGAGGGGAGGGTGTCTTCTGTTATTTGTATATCATAAAAAGTAAGTTGGGGGAAAAGGAGCATACTTCCAAACTAAAGGTGGGAGAAGATAAACTGGAATGTAGTAGATATCTTTCTATATAATATTTCTGCCTTTTCCTTTCCCCTCTCCTCCTGGTGCATTTAAAAACTATACCTGGAATTTGAAATTTAAATAGATTTGATGAGCTTGAGATAGTTAAGGATGCATTTCTTGCTTGAGAACTAATGAGTAAGCCTGAAAAATATGAGACTGAATTTATTTTGTAGGTAGGCAACATGCACATAGGCAAAAAGAGCTTGGGTCTTTTTTATCCCCTTTTTAAATTGATTGCTTGAAGACGCCATTTGTTAGTGTCCTGGTTTGCAAGGCAATTAGGCCCATCATTGTATTGCAGGCTAATAATCCTGAGATGAGTCTTGGCACCACTGCTTTATGTAAACAGAGAGAAGACAGGAAATATGGAAATGTCATAAATATTCATTGGTGAGATGGTTTGGTACTGATGGAGTTTTTCATATGATTGTCTTTTGACATTTATAAGATTGAAAATAATTGGACTCTATTTCTAAAGATTGAATTTTCTTCCAAAGGAATTCAGGTGATCAGAATTCTGTCAGATGTGAATAAATAAAGCATATTGAGTCATTTTTATTTTATTTTTTAGAGAATGATGTTGATGTAGGTACATTGTATTAACTACAGAAACAATATCTCCATCTATTCATCAGAAATTTGATTTAAACCTTAGTGATATGCTCATTCTTAGGGCAGAATGGTGATAATGGAAGGAACGCAGGAGTGTAAATGGAGGGAACATCATTAGATAAACAGTTTTCTGGACCTAATTGCATTAACTGTTATAATATGTTAAACATAAAGTGGCTGTTGATTAGAGCTCAGACTGAAAAAAAATGAGGAGGGATGTAAAGTAGATAAAATTGGCACCATTGGGATTGAAATAATTCTTTTTATTTTTGTTTAAGCTGCAGAGTTTAACTCGCAAACAAACCATTTTCCTTGGCTTTCACAATTGAGCATATAAAAATACCATTTAGAATCTTTTTTTTTTTTTTAGCTCCAAAATGGGCAGAATGATGGAAAGTTGGACTTATCCTTTGAATTGAAAGTGTTTTGTAATGAGGAAGCTTTCTGTATTATAATAGAAATCAGGTTTGAGCAGTTACCTGTAATTCAATGAGACTGTAATCTAATGCAAGCATTTCCCTCATAACTTTACTCTGGGGTCTAGACATTGTTTTTGCAGATCTGCGGGCTTGGTCTAGAGGCGGGATGTTTATATTAAAGCCCTAGCTTTTGAGAGCCCAACATGAAAAGTAATTGCCTGGAAGAAATGTGTTGGTGGATTTTTTTTTCCAAAGCCATGGTCACTTGTGTAGTAGTAATGTGTTTTTGTATCTTTACCTCATTTGATCCTCCAGATATCTTGGTGAGAAGAGAGCAGATGGAGGTATTGGTAAACAGAAGCCTTGGTGGAATGAATAGCCTGTGAGTTGAGGAGTTGAGTCCTGGATTCAAATCCCGGTTCTACTACTTGAAAGCTGAGTGATTTCAATCAAGTCATTAAAAACCTTGATTTTTATCACCAAAGTGCTGACCAAAGTGCTGGCTGCCAGCACTTTGGGAGGCTGAGGTGGGTGGATCACTTGAGGTCAGGAGTTCGAGACCAGCCTGGCCAACATGGTGAAACCCCATCTCTACTGAAAATACAAAAATTAGCCAGGCATAGTAGGTGCCTGTAATCCCAGCTACTCGGGAGGCTGAGGCAGGAGAATTGCTAGAACAGGGGAGGTGGGCAGTGAGCCATGATCACGCCATTGTACTCCAGCCTGGGCAACAAGAGTGAAACTCTGTCTTGAAAAAAACAAAACAAAACAAAACCCTTTCATATTTAGTGGTAATGGCCGCAAAACATTGTGAACATAATTAATACCACTGAATTGTACACTTAAATTTGGTTAAAAAGGTAAAAATACACAAAAAAACCTCAGAAACCAAAAAAACTGGCCAGGCACAGTGGTTCACGCCCATGATCCCAGACTTTGGGAGGCTGAGCTGGGCGGATTGCTTGAGCCTAGGAGTTCGAGACCGGTGAGGGCAACATAGGGAGACCCGTCTCTACAAAAAAAAAAAAAAAAAATTAGCTGGGTGTGGTAGCCTACGCTTGTAATCTCAGACACTCAGGAGGGAGGTGGGAGGATTGCTTGAGCCAGGGAGGTCAAGGCTGTAGTGAGCCATGATCATGCTTCTCTGCACTCCAGTCTGGGTTACAGAGTGAGACCCTGTCACACAATCAAACTTTCGTACTTTACAAGGCTGTCAAGGAGAACAAACCAGTTCATGTCCTGAAAACACTGTACATATATGAAATATCTGTTCACTATTTATTTAATGAATGTCTGCTAAGTGCCAGGGGAAATAAAAATGAACAGAAAGTAGTTGTCAAGGAGCTTTTAGTGTCGTGGGAAAGACAGACAAATTAAATATGGTGAGAAAAATGAGGCAAAATGAATGCTATGGTTAAATGTGGGTTTTGAAGTCTGCCTACCACTTAACTATTAGCTGTGTGACATTGGGCACAATGGGCTCATCTGTAAAGTGGGGATAATAGAATTAATATCATAGGATTGTTTTGAGGATTAAATAAGATAATCAATGGAAAGCATTTAACACAGTATGTTTTTTAGTACACATTAAAATAATATTAGTTGTTGCCTTTATTGTTAGAAAGATTGGCAGAGGCTAGAATGAATAGCCTTGTATGCCCTACCAATGAGTTCTTAGTATTGTGGTATATATTAATGAGGTATTATTTTGTATTATGATCTCATACATTTTTGCATGTGTACAGTCTGGGAAGTTTAAACAGTTCTTTAAATACCAAAGTCCTAAACAGATGTTAGCTGTTAGCTTCCTCATTAATGAAATAAGAAGAAAAATTATGCTTTGAGAGGTTAAATGACTTGTTTAAGGTTACACAAGTCAGTGGAAAAGTCTGGGTTACAGCCCCCAAATTCTAATTTGTCAACCCCATTTATATCTTTTTTAAAATTGTAAAATATGTCATATGTATAAAAGTATATTTAACATAAACCCACAACTTAAAGAATAACAAATTGAAGACTTTTCTGCTTGCTACCCAGCTTAACAAAAAGGAGATTTCTAGTACCTTTAAAGCCTCTTGTGAGGTTCTACTTGATTGAGTCTCCTACCTTCTCTCTCCCTCAGAGGTAAACAGTTTGCTAAATTTTATGTGAATCATTTCTTTGCTTTTCTTCATACTTTTACCAAATATGTGCATATCCCTAAACCATATATTTTTTACCTTTGCGACTTTTTATAAATAGAATTATAGGATAAATATTGACTTGCTTTATTCTTATTTATTCTTATTTTTTAACTTTTAAAAAAGCTTTATTTCTTCCACCATTAAATAATGTATGCTCATGATAGAAACTAAAAATTACAAAAAGTAA